ACACGCGTATTATACGTACATGTATGTGTGAGTACACTTGTATTGCAGAGCATATGCATACATGTGTTGCAAAGTTTAGCCATGGGTTTGCTGCATCACATACAAATAACCCAACCAACTACACGATATAAATCCATTACTAGCAAATTGCGGTATCGAATCAGGAAACAGGAAGAAAGGTTTCCTATCCAGGGCTTACTATTGGAAACGAGGTTGGAAATAAAGTAAGCACTGGGGACGAGGTTGATAACAAATGTAATTGCCCTCCGTAACCTAGTCGGAGTATCACCCGTTATCCACAGAGCAAGTTTCCTGTAGGCTATACGTCTGATATGTCTAGCCGCGCGCAAGCCAATCGGAGTCGACTGTACTAAATCGTGACGTCATTTTATTCCTAAATCAGGACTAAATGGTTTGATTGGTCAATTTGAAATTGTCAATTCGAATGCAGTGCAACCTCGTTCCCATAGGTACGAGATCTAGGCTGAGCAATGTTGTTTCCCATCATGCCTTGCGTGTGCAAGGCACGCACCCATGGAGTCGAGGCTGAGTGTTTTGTAATTCAACAGCAACCGGGCGCGTTATCGCGTAACATGATACAGAGCGCGTGACACACTTTTTTTATCCATTGTCTATGACGCGCAACGGTGAATGACCGAAGACCCGATATAGAAAGCGCCCGCTGACTGGTCAAAATCTAGGAAGTCAAATGGCGGGGTCTTGCCTAATTAATCAGCGAATCTGGTCACGCGTATAACATAGACTACACGTGACCTAGCTGAACACGCGTGAAGCTGGAAATGCGCACCGAGTATTTACGCGCTGCGCTCACGCCCGCTTGCACGTTGCAACTAAAGATATAGAATAAAAAGACTAGATCGGCAGTGCGTACAGACGCGCGTTCTGCCATGGGCGGCGCCATTTTTTAGCACGTGGGGCAAAATTGTGCGCGTTACGCGCACCTTTTTTTCCGTAGGTTTGTATGGGAATGACATATTTTTATGTCCGCCAATTTTTGACCCGTAGTAGTAATTTCTTCAACAAAATTCAAAATGGGTTATATCAAGCTGCATGTTCATTTCGAAGTTTGGTCATTTTATTTCTCGTATTTTTTCCCGTTTTAAAATGCTGGTGCGCGTTGCTTAAAAAAAACTTGCATCCAGGTGTTTGAGTGTTATTTTCTTCATCAACAAACAGAACAATGATCATTTTGAACGTCTTATTTCCGTAGTTGTTGCGCTGTCCTTTAATTTAAATTCACGGCAGCTTCACGGGACAACACCCAGACATTTTTTTTTTACATTGTCCCTCCTCAGGGTATGACATACGCCGTAATCGGATGCAGTTTTGTACTGTTGGATACTGAGGGCCGGGGATGCACGCCCCTCCTCAGCCCTTCACTAACTTATTTTCAAACAAAATAGAACAAATAAATTTGTGTTATTTTTTCTCTGGACCTCTAGTGGCATATCCAGCATCTGAAAATCTTCAAGAAGGCGCAAGAATCTCACAATGTTATACAAAATGGGTACTAAAAGTAGAGCACAATGTAAATAAACTTGAGGGGTTAATTAGGTTATTCAGAAGTCCGGAACACAACGGAGTGTAATTTAATTTCATTCTTAAAACGGTTTTCAGGGGCAATATTATTGTCATTAAAAGTTAGACATAATTATATAATGCAATCCAAGTAAATTGTTCTCATCCCAAAAATATAATAATTGTAACACAAATCTCTAAAAATATCCATTGAAACATTTCACAATTTTCTTAAATGATTCATCGGTAATTTAAAACGTAGAGTTTTCCTTTTCATAAACAATGTCTTATACACATTTTATCAGATAAGCTGACATTTATTTGAGATTTTTAGCAACGTGCACCACCATTTTGAAACGAAAAATAAAAACGAAAAGAGAGGGAAATGAGCAAACTTCGAGGTGACTATCCAGCTTGAAAATGCATATTGAATTTTGCGGATACATAATAACTACTGGTCAAAAATGTTACTTTTACGGACATAAAAATGCAAGTTTGTGCACAAACCACTACTGCGCGTAGAGCGTCCATGCGGGAACGGGAAAATTTGTGCACACTCTATGGCGC